AAATAATGGACAGTGAGATAATGGACAATTTGATACAGATACATATACCTTTAGATAGTTAGTTACATTTGCTACGAGGAATAGAGAAAGGGTGAATTCTATCGTTATGAGGTTCACTGAATTAGTCATGTAAAGACAGACAAGATGAGTTGGATACAAACTTTATACTCTTCTTTAACTGTGCCAGGTTGTCTAATAGCTTCAATTGTGGGTCGACGCCACCGCTTTGGATCCCAAAGAATGGTACTATTGAAGGCGAACCCGGACATTTCAGCATGGAATCTCCTAAATCTTGGAGTACTTGGTTCATTTGTGTGCCATCCAATGACCTTAGTTCCATTACAAACAGGGCCCTCTATAACAATTTTGTTTTCCTTTTTGTTCAACTTCGCTACAGTCCATGTCCCAAAACGCCTGGAAGTCAAAAACAAAATGAGTATTGCCACACAACATGCACATAAAAAATATGCCTGCAATTAGTGCATATGCTGAATTAGGACAATCGATCAAATCACTTCTATGAAACCCAAGAATAGGAAGAAAGTCTGAAGAGAAAAGATTGGAGAGACAGAAACTTCAAAAAGAAGAGAAAGTGAATCACTGGAAACAGCCAAGTACTAAGTATTGAATTAAGTGAATTCACTACCATGATTCAATTACATCAAAGATATTGTGAATCTAAATAAAATGACACCAGTACAACAGGCAAATAAAATTTCAAATCATTCAGATTGTTCACATCATTGTTCTATAAGCAATCCAACTATTAATATAGAGTACTATAAGAGATTATCAGGATTAAGTGATCCCACACCCTCCTGTGCAGACAGATAAAAAAAAAATACATCAGTCACCGAGGTTTGATCCTGCAAAAATTAACAATATGCTTTTCTTAGGCCTTGGTACAAAAAACAACGTTTAAGAGGGGTGGATTAATAGTTGATACAAGTACCCGCAAACAATCTTTACGTGCAAGCTACTAGATGTGAACATACAATCAACAAGCCTAATGTTATCTATGCTAGCAATTTCATAACCTCAGATAATTAACATCATATCAGTTTTCAATTAGTTGGTACTTCTTCCTAAAGTTCTTCCTTTCAGATTTCTGTACACATATCTACGATCATTTTTAGTTTCTGATAATAAGTAATGACATATGAGACGACTTAATCATCTTTCAAATTACTCTTAGTTAAACAGGTACTTGGTAGTTCCACCAGACTCCAGAACTGGAGTAGCAAAATTCTAAAAGCAAATATCCTGAAGTTCCCACCTCCCAACATTGTCATTGACTCTCATTATCCTACCACAGAACTTTGTGTTCCTTTTATTGTAAGACTTCTCAATAAGGAAAGTTCACTAATAGAAATTATATTTCAAAAAAGTTTCAAGTAATGGTAGTCAAGATTTTTAACATTGTTATCAGTAAAATCAATTTGCATTTGCCTTCATATTTAGAGGCACCAAGATCAACAAAAACAGCATAATCCTTTCTGCTTCAAGAAGAAAAAATCAGATGGTGGAAACTTGTCCCTGATAACAAACATAAGATTGTCAACAAGATAGTCAAAACATGAATGTATGATATAGGAAATGTTGGATGTTACCACCATCATCTGCTTCTCATGAGAAAGAAAAAAAGAAATCTACAAATCAAACATGCCCAAGTTTTAAATTTCTAACAAAAGAAATGAAAAGATCTTCGGGTTATATATTATGGCTGATGTACACTTGATATGCAGCTTCTACAGCTACATTAGTACTGTGCTGAAATTAATAAAGATTAAAAGAAGAACAAAGAGTATAAGGAAGAAACCTGATTTGTCTCAGCTCCTGAAAAAGATCAACAGAGTATGTATTATCATCATCTGCAAAGTAGACAATCCCATCAAGACGATGAGTTTCAATGTGATTGAGTGCTGTATTTCTCTGGTGACTGCTCCTGTCTTCCATATCAGTCAGGTTCTTTTTGCAAATAAGATGCCTATACATTACACCAGATCTTCTTAGGATGTCAGCTGTTTCCACTGACTGGGTAGTCATCTCAACAACTATCCACAACAGAGGAGGCTGGACTCGTTTTAACGTGTATGCTAAACGATGCAAATAATAGGCATGAAATGGTCTAGCATATGTTGGGGTCACAATTATCAAAAGCTTCTGGAACACAATAGGTGTATTTTGAGGAGATGACACATTAATGGAGATATCTTCATAAACACCAGACATCAATTCCCGTTCCTTCACTTGGGGCTCAGTTGTGTTGTCCTTCATGACATCTCCATTGTCCACCAGTGACATTCCATCTATAGTGATACCTTTATGTGTGTGCAATTTACCAGCAGTTGATACCACCCCAAAGGAGAAAGCTTGATGCTTTGAGATTGAATTCATCGAAAAATCCTGGAAGGCTAATGTGATTAGTCCAATGAAGACACCAACTGTGAAACAAAGGAAGAAATGGAATAAAGCTCTTCTCCAAACATGAGCTTTTGGTTTTGATCTTTCAAGTGGCCTAGAAGATTTTGGTGATGAAACCCCGAGAAACAAAGCATGAGAATCGTTGAAACCAAGGAGAGAAGATAATCCTCCACCAGATACAGGGTAGTTTTGAGCACATGTTGAGGACTTCGACAGGGGAGAAGCAACTGAACAGGCTTCCGCATTTAGTAATGTCCCCTGCCTAGGGACAGGCGACAAGGTTCTTCTAATGGATGCCATTAAATCAAAGCCAGATCAATCTCGTTCACTTCAGCTTTAGCTCGGTTACAACCTCATCATCCCCTAGAGACACACCATAAGTAAGATATCCCAAGTAATAGATTCTCTTTTCTGGCTTCAAATTAAGCGTACTTGGATATCACATGTTTAAACTGTCATAAAGCTACCAATCTAAAGCTCTCATTTTCCACACATTTATATCATAGTCAACTACCAGTACAAACACAATCTAAATTGACGTTTTTGCCTAAAATAACACCAGCTCCAGCAAATCTACTTTGAGATTCAGTTTCTAAAAAGCTCAATCCTAACATTGTCCTATACTTAAATCCCAGCTTTGGTCCTACTCCAAAATGAACTTTAAAAACAACTACCAAGCAAAGTTAAAAATCTAAAATTAAGCAGAACAAATACACTTACCAACCATGAGGCGAGAGCCCAGAAAAAAAATCTAACATAGAATCCAACCCAATACGCTAAAAAATTCCAGTTCAATTAGACGGGTCACCAGATTGCACTTTAAGAACAAATGAATATTCTGCACCATATACTCCTGGAACTGCTTCTCTAACACCATTCAACTAAAAACGCCGCCATTTGGGATCTTCACTCCAAAGATTCTTCAGCCAACCTTGTATTGGTATTCCGGAGTCACAAATCAAGATAGAGAGCGACAGGAGAACATGAAAAAGTTACTGGAGAATCTTTGAAGTTATCGAGATTGAAGGAAGCAATTAACACTAAAAATAATTAATATATATAACAAAGTAGTGCTGGAGACTGAAAACAGAGTGATAAATGATGATACTCGCTTCTCCCACTCACAAACATTCAGATTCAGACATGAAAAAATTAAGATTTATTTAATTGGTTTGTCCTTGTCAATGTTAAATGTCTTCGTTACCGATGATTGTATGGACTTTTCATGCCTTCAAATCTATTAGGACACGTGTAAGGTCCACAGGAGACCGATTGTTTTCAGACTTCAATTCTTTTGAATTCTGGTTTATTATTCCTAGTTTTTCTGATGTGTTTAATTTTTAGTTTGTTAAAATACTTAAATAATATAATTATATTAATTTAAAATATGTTAATTATTTTTATGACATCCATTTAAGTTATTTCTAAAATTATAATAATTTTTATATTATATTATTATATAATTATGTTAAGTAAATAATTGTTTATGGTAGTAATTAAATGTGCAGATATTCTAACAGGTTTGGGGAAAAAAAGAATTAACATAATAATGGATATGGTATAAAATTGCCATACAATATATTATTTTTTATTTTATTGATATTTAATATAATTACAATTAATTAATTTAAAAAAATAATTTTATTTTTCTTATTTTAATTATTATAAAAAATTTTAGAAATAAAATATATTTTCTAACCATAAATTACAATTTAATACTTTATTATTTTGACATTTTCATTAATACATGTGGCCGAACAGCCCAGCCCCAATCTAAGGGAAAAATGAAGCCCAGCAGCCTTGACCCAAAAGAAGAAAGAAGACAAAAAGAAAGGAAAAGAGAAGCCCAGCGCCAAAAGCTCTCTGAACGACGCCGTTCAGCAGCCTGTTTAGGCTAAATAAGGCTTCTGGTTTTTGGCATGATGAAAAAGAGAAGCAGCGGGGTGGCGCAGGGAACGGGAGAAGAAGAAGGAAGCAAAGACGTGCACGTCGCGAGCGGGAAGAGATAGATTTTCGTGATTTTTGGAGAATCTTCAGTGCGGGGATACTGATCTAAACAGCTTCGCTCCACTATAAAGAGCGAAACTCGAAACAGAGAAAGGAGGAATCCCTGAGGCCAAGGGGGCGTAGAGAGAGGGAGGAGGCCGAGAAGAGAGAGCTCATCTTCTCCATGGATTCTTCGCAAGATACTCAGAAAAATCCCCTCAAATTGTTCTTCTCATTCTTTATTTTCCTTCTACTCGCAGAACCAATTACTGGCCTCTACTTATTGACATAAGCACAAATATCACCCATCTCTGTATTTTCTTCAGTGCGACTCCAAGCAGCTCAGGCCATCTCTGTCACAGAAGAAGCCCTCTCTCTGCTGTCCTTAATTTCCGAGCGGCAATCATATACACTGCAGCTTATCATCACCGAGACCCAACCTTCATCGCACAGTAAGACTCTCTCCTTTTCCTTTACGTTCTGCGATCACGTTACTTGAATTTTCTGCGTTTGTGTTATATTCCTGTTGATCTCAGATGAAGCAGAAACTCAGAAGTATATGTTTTAAATGGATTTATGATTTGCTCGCGAATGGGTATCATTTTGTTCAATCTTGTTGTCTTGCATTCTTTTAACCTGCCATTATTAATTTTTAATGATTCCCCTGTGAAATGGTACTATGACGTTGATCGCTTGAAATTCGTAGTTGGCTGAACCGTGGGTTATGAATAGATTAAAATATAGGCGTGCCAAGTGTTTGTTGAAATGGCTCTTTCGTTTCTTCTCTCTTATCTCTATGTCATGCTGTGGTTTCAGCTTGTTGTGATGACTGAGTGTCACAGAACATCATTTATTAATTAAATGAGAATAAAGATAGATATGGTAGAATTAAGAGAAAATTATATATTATCCTCTCACCCAATTGCATGCTGTCAAAAATCCTAGAAAAAGAAGAAGATTGAATACTAAAAGAATAATAATGCTTTTGGTGCTTTGAGTGTATTTTTAGATTTCATTTTGTTGATGTGGCTTGAATTTTAGTTTCATTGGTTGACTTGATTAGTTCATATTAAATTATTTTTTTTAGTTTGGAAAAATCATAGTATTTTCTGGGTACGTTAGGATTTACAAATTAATTATTGATTGTACTCTTTTCTTTTCATCACAGTGAAAAAACTTCTACTCTGTCTTGCCCATGGACATAGGCATATTTGCAGAATTATGTAATCTCGTGTCTTTCTTTTTTAGTCTTTATTTGTGTGATTGTATGTGTGATTGGGATTATTTCCTTTACAAATTAGTATCAGACCTGACTTTGCACACAATTTAAGGTTTCTAAATGGCATCTTCGTCTTCTGCAAAGTATGAGCTAGAAAAATTTGATGGTAGAACGAATTTCAATCTATAGAAGATTAGAATGAAATTATCCATGATGTTATAAGGTTTATGGGAGGCAGTTGAGGATAACTTTCCAGAGAGTTTGAAAGAGACTGACAAGGCAAACTTGAAAGAGAAAGTCTTGAGTGCAATTTTCTTAAATGTGACTGATAATGTTCTACGTGAAATTGCTGGAGAACTTTCGGTATCTACAGTGTAAAAGAAATTAGAAGAGTTGTACTTTACAAAGTTGCTGAAAAATCGTCTTTATTTGAAGTAAAAACTATATAAACTAAGAATGAGTGAAGATACACCTATTAAGCAACCTCTTGATGAATTTAGTTCAGTCATTATGAATATAAATTGTATAGACATTAAAATTGATAAAGAGGATCAGACTTTAATTGCATTGTGTTCATTGCCATCCTTATGAAACCTTCGTTGATACTTTGTTGTATGAAAATGATATTGTTTCATTGGATGATGTTACTAGTGCATTAAAATCAAAAGAGTTGAAGAAGAATTTTTTAGAAAAATAGAATAGAACAGAAGAGTTTGGTAAGTGGGGGAAGAACACATTGTTTCAAGTGTGGGGAGCAGGGTCATTTTTGGAGAAATTGTCTTAAGTTGAAAGAGAAAAAAGGAAAGAGGTAGGAGAATTCTCCAAATATTATTGACATTAATGATTATCATGATAGTGATAATGGTGTTGCTGGAGAAGTTTTATGTGAGTTCGAATCATGGAAAGGATTCTTGGGTTTTTAATTCTAGTACTACATTCTACATACGGCTATACAAAGATTGATTTGTTACTTATAAACAGATGAATGGTTCTATATATATAGGTAATGATAGTTTGTTATATGTAGATGGAATTAATAGCATTATATTGAGAATATTTAATGAAATTGTTAGAACTATTGAATGTTGTCATGTTCAACAGATGAAGAGAAATTTAATTTCTCTTTTGACGCTAGATTCTCAAACTTATAGATACTATACAGAAAATAGTGTACTCAAAGTGTATAAAAGCTTTATGATATTCCCAAAAGGCATATCGGAACAGTGATCAAAATCAAGACAATACAATTTCAAGAGAAGTTGTTGTAGCATCAAGGAATAGTGATCAAAATCAGACTATGTTGTGCATTTTGTGTCTCGGTCATATGGTTGACAATGAATTATCTATTTTGAACAAACAGAATTTGTTGGATGGATTTTTGTGACCATTATGTGTTTGACAAATAGACTTGGGTGAAATAACATGCAAGATTTGTCATTCACCTTAAATCCTTCCACCATAATATTATTTTAAGGAAAAGGAACATGCAACTTTATGGCCTTTCTCATAAGATTTGCCTTATTGGTGTGAGTATGTTTTGGTTGCAAACCACTCAAAAGCTATTGTATGCATTCTTACAACCTTTTGACAAGAGTTCAACTATCAATTTCTTTACCAATATCAATACTAAATTACTTTGAGGTAGAGTAGATTAATTAGTCTAAATTACTTTGAGGTAGAGTGATTAATTAGTCTATGGGCTATGTAGGATTTATTTAGCTCAAGCTCTTCTCTCTATTTCTCTTTTATAAGAAGACAACTATTAGATAGAGGAAATAGTAATACACTTGTTTTTTTGTATATATGATTTCAAGAGATGTAAAGAAAAAAAAAAATTTAATAGGTACACCCATTAAACTTGCAGTAGTTTGACAAGTGTAAATCGACCTCTATAAATAAGACACTAAAAAGAAGTTAAATATATATTTACATATGTTCGAATTAAAATATACCTTATTTTATTTTTTTCACATAGATGAAAATAATATCTAATTGATTATTTAGATATATAATATTTATCTTATCTACATAAAATTAAAACTCAAACATAGTATTTGCCGGACTATATCCGTTAGCTTTAATAAAATAAAAAATATTTAATTTGTATTATCAATTGTTTAAGTTAGTATTTAAAAAGATATTTGCAAAAAAAAGGTTAAAGCAATGTATAAGAGCTATAAGAGTTTAATATATAGGTGAAAAAAAAGAAAATTAAGGACATGATGATTGAAGATTACAAGGAATCACTTAAAGAAAAGAAAGGCAAAATTCAAAATTAAATTCTTTAAATATCTTCTTCTCTAAGTATAACTAGGCAATTTTAATTTATGGCTCAAGAAACATAATTAAAACTTTTTCAAGATTTTTAAAATGGTATTTTGAAAATGATCTTTCAAAATAAAGTTACAATGGTACGTTGAGAAAAAAATTTCTCTTAAAAACAATTTTCTATAGCATCTGTTTACAAATCATGAATCTTGAATCATTTTAAAGTTACATTAGATGGAGTTTGAGCTTTTCAAATACACTGGAAAATAATCATTAACGAAAACATTTGCATGAAACTCATATCACAATGGACACATACTAAGTTGTTCAAAACTCACGTATAATGGTCAAAAGTGAGCATTTAATGCTCCCCACAAACTTTCTGGCATAACTAATTGTTATATTAAGACTTCAATCTATAAGTTCTTTGTGGAAACTCATTTTAAAATAAGAAAAATAGTATATTTTTTAAGATTTAAGAGGTGAAACTTGATGAAATCATTTTCAAAATCTCCTTCTTTATTCTGTTTTATCTCAAATCGCATTCTTCTAAGAGAAAGGCCCTTAAGGTAACATTTTCTATCATTTTTGAGCTCATTAAACTTTTACTATTATTAAAAAGTTTTAAAAATTAAAAAAAATATTTCCCTTGAGCATATTTATATATACTTTTTGATTTCATATTTATTTTGACTTAACTTGAATATTATTGTTTTGGAGAAAATTTTGAATTATACCATGAAAAAAGTTTTTAATTTTGTGATTAATAATCTTTTTCTAATAATTGATTGAGGATTTTAAAAGAAAATTATTTTTATATCGAGTGATACCCAAAAATCTCTTTAGTGCTTAATATTTGAGATCATCTCTAGAAGAAGTAATCAAATTAATCTCTAGATCATCTATTAAGAGATATCAAAAAGTTTAAATTCTCTTAAAATTTAACATGTATCATTTACTTTTTATTAGGGAAAAGAAACCATGTATGATTGTTCATTTCTCTATTAAAAAGTGATTTGTAAAAAAAGTTAGAAGTTTGATGAAACACGTTCCAAAGATGGAGCTAATCACCTTAATAAACAAGTATTGTGGAAGTTGGAGCATGACACATTAGGAAAACCAAGTTGTGTAAGAGTTGTATCTTGGTATTTTAATCAACAAACAAATATAGCAATGAGAGTATAATAAAATTCTCAAGTGATGACTTGAAGAGAGTGTATAGATACATGTTAAGTGATCGAACTCTATAAGTGTTATATGTTATATGTCTCCTTGCTCTTTCTCTCTTTCACATTTACTTACTTTGATTGTTAGATCACATAATATTTTATCTCTCACTTAACTTTAAAAATAATTCATATATATGCATCACATGACCATATTGAAAGGTTGTCTCAAGATATGAAGCAAAAAAATTGTTAAAATAAGTAAAAACCCAGTTCACATTTCTCTTGGGTGATATTACCATTAATGCAAGCACTATTTAATCATATGATGATACAACTATATCGTGATGGTCTATAAAATAAATAATAAGTAAGTTCAAATAAAAATATTACCTATTTATGAAAAAATAAAAAATGTACATGACTGAGATAATAATTTAACATATTTAAGAGATGAATCTAATGCTTTGAAATATTTATATTGATTTTGGTGATGCAAAGTGCTTAATCCATATTAATGAAAATTGTATGAATCCTTGCAAAGTTGAATATGAACAATAATAAAAGAAGAATACTCAACTTTGAGGAATATCAATTAAAGAAAAGAAAAGAGCAATAAGATAAAAATTACAAGTTACTATCTTTATTTTTGAGTACTTTTATAAATGAATTCAAATCTATAGCTCAAGAAGAAAAAGCTTTTTGGAAATTGTGAGAATGGTGCTTAGAAAATTGCTTATAAGAGAAATTTTTTTAAGACGTTTCAAAAAAAAAATTCTTAATAAAAATTATGAGAAATTTTTCCTTTGAAAATATGGTTATACATGCGCATCACAATTGTTGATATTGTCAAAATACATCTGATCCTAGTAAAATGTGAAAAGATGAGAAAATAGTGATATTAAAGTAGTTTTAGACAAATGACTTTGAAATTCATTCACTATTTCATTTAAGAGAAGATCTTTAGTATTTAAATTTTGAAAAATAAAATCTTCTTTTGTTATTTTTCTTTGGCATTATTTTTACAATATTGAGATTCAAGTTGTATTATCCACTCTCACAGAGGAAAAAAAAAATTAAACTTAATTTTTTTCATTTTTATTTGAAAATTCTCATTTGAATTAAAAAATTTGAGAAAAATACTTATACGAAATATGTAGCTTGCCTGTCTTGAGTAAAACAAATAGTTAAAGAAACATAACTTGCTAATTTTATATAAAATAAGTACTATGAAAGGTATAACTTATCGATCTTGAGTAAATCAAACAAATGTAATTGAGGAGAGTATAATAAAAATGTCAAGTGATGACTTGAGAAGAATATATAGGTTCACGAGTTAGTACTCAATCTTTATCAACAGTTTTTGCTTCTTCTATTCCTTACATTAGTTTAATTATTATCTTTAATAGATTTTGAGTTAAATTAATTACAATTGAAGTGCACTTATCAAAATTAAAGTTAATATTTGTTTTCAGTACATTACTCAAAACTAGTTGATAATAATTAAATGTATTAAAGTTGAAACTAACCTTTTGTAGTTCACATTATTGGTAAAACTATATCAAAAGTAACTCGTGAAAGAATGTTATTAAAAATTTATAGTTCACATCAAAGTTTAAAATTTATTAGAATTTGAGTTAGGGTCAAAATTGTAAATAAATTTACGAAACCTAATTCATTATTCTCGTAGGTTACATTAGACATTCGAGAGAAGAATATTGTATATGAGGATGATACATAAAAAATAATATAACAAAATATATTTCTTCAAAATCAATTTTTATGCATGATCTTTAAAAAAGTATCGATGTTGAAATTCAACAAGCTCATTAAAAATCATCGATTACTATATTTGAGAATTAGTATACAAATATGCGGTATATCGAGGGAGTTAAAATGATAATTCTCTTAAGAGAATTATTAAAGATTGTTTATTCTACTGTTTATTTTGCATTTATCTAATTATATTATTTATAATTTTTTTATTAGAGTTTATAACAACAACTAATTATTAATCATTTATAGCTTCTCCAAATTTAATTAAATTCAAAATTTAGGGCTTATCGAAATTTTAAGCCGGCTTTTTTTTTTTAATTTTTTTTAAAAAAACGAAAATTAGTGAAAACATACAACAGTGCTTCTCATTGCAGGTCGCCCTCTTCTCTTCAGATCTCTCTCTTTATCGGCGAGGAGGGAAGACAGAGAGAGATAGCCAGTCGTCATGGGCACGGCAGTTAGGATCTTTCTTATCCTTCTAGCAATCATTTCTTCCGCAACTGTAGCTTTTTCTCTTTACGAAGATCAAGTTGGCCTCATGGATTGGTAAGTAGCTCTGTTGTTATCCGATTTCAGTTTTTTCTGTTTGGTTCTCGAGAAAGCCTAAATACTGAACATCTCATGCACCGCTCTCTGTAGCTACTTGCAGTCTCTGGTTTTCTCTTACGCTATTGATTGTTGTTGAATTCGGTCGCTGCTATTTTAACTTGTCTCAAAATTGCCTAATGGTTCTATATTTCGGACTTGGAATTCCAATTACTCGCAGTATACTATGCAATGCTAAACTTACTTCTTCTTCTTCTTCTTCTTCTTCTACATGTAATTTCTTTTTGTAGCTTTTATATTTGGTATGCGAGTATACTTTTACGAACAGTGGATTCTTAATTTTGTTTATCTAGGAAATTTATTTTAATTACACCAAGCACCGTGTCTTCTGCTATAATTGATTGGAAATCGGGTTCCTTTCTTTTATTCTAGGCATCAACGATACATAGGAAAAGTGAAGCACGCGGTGTTCCATACTCAAAAGACTGGGCGAAAGCGTGTTGTGGTATCAACTGAAGAGAATGTTATCGCCTCACTTGACCTTAGGCATGGCGAGATCTGTAAGTTAGCATTCAATCAATTCTGTTTTTTTTAATACCAGTTTTCTGTACAAAGTCTTTTATTTTCAGACGAGTTATCCTCACATATTCAGGAACAAATTAAAGTAAGTTAGGTTTTACTACAAAACCTTCATTTGTTGATTTTGACATGAAGACTCTATAGAGAGTCACATTATGGAAAATCCACTAAGCAACACCTCTTTAATGCACGGGCTTATTGTCTTGAATATTTGCCTCTGATAGAAATAAAAATTTTCCTTTTTTATTGATTCATAACTTCAATTACTGCTTGATCAAATGCAGTTTGGCGGCATGTTCTTGGCAGTAATGATGCTATTGATGGGATGGACATTGCCTTGGGAAAATGTAAGGATGTTGATTACCCTAATTTCTTTTATTTTGTGCAGAAATGTTTGTAGAGTGTCAGTTTCTTTTCTGTTAGGCCTAGTACCTGTTAGTTATACTTATTTGTTAACAGTTTTTCCCAACAATTTTCATGTTATCAGATAGAGTGTTTGCATGTTTATAATATTCTAGTAAATTCATTTTGAATTTTCTCACTGTATAGCGAGAATTCTTTTCACTAAGTTCAAGTCATTTTTAACTCTTTTAACCTCGACTTTTTCCTGACAGATAATTTGATTCCTGTAATTCTATAGTTCATCATCATCTATTCTCCTTGTTTTTAGCAACTAGCTTTTATATAGACGCCAGTTACAACTGATGAAGAAATTTTTTTTCAAAAAAAAAAAAGATTTTAATTTTTATAGTATTCAAGATCACCTATAAGAAATTTTATCTAAAAAAAAGATCTACCCATAAGAAAACTAAAATATTATAACCCCTAAATAATCCTAAATAACTTAAAAATGTAAAATAATAATAATAATCATAGAAATTTCTTTATAACAAATTTATGCCAGATTAAGATCTTCTTCTGCATTGCAATTGCTAATGGTTCTACAGTCTGTGTGCTGTTTGCTGTATTTCCTATATTTATGGATATCAAACATGCTTCCTGGTCAACAGTTTAAGGTTTAATTTTTTTTGCAGGCCTTGTCAGTTAATTCTATTTTTTCTTGATTACGGAAGTTTAGGAAATAAGATTTTAGTAAAGAAAATATCATTAACATAGTAAATCTTCCATATTCATGTACATCACTAGATTTGGTTGCTCAATCATGAAATGTTTTAAAGGTTGCACGGGTGTCATTGTTAACAACAGAATCTTTGATCAATAAACCATCTAGAGTCATGAATGTCTAATGCAATTTTTCAGATGTCATTACCCTTTCATCAGAGGGAAGTACTTTACGAGCTTGGAACCTTCCTGATGGACAGATGGTGTGGGAATCTATTCTTCATGGCTCAAAGCCCTCCAAGTCATTGTTATTGGTGCCGGTTAGTAGTTAAATTATATAGCAGTTTGGTCAAATTTTCAAATGAATATCTTTGTGTTTTGTTAACTATGGGTGGTCTCTCTTCAGAAAAAAAATTTATGCTGTCTCTTTTATGTGCATGCCTCTACCTCACCTCCCCCTCCCCAAAAAAAAAAAGAAAAAGTAAAAAGAAAAATAAAGTCTGAATCAGTGAGGTCATTGTCTATGTTTTCTGATAGAAAAAAGAAGCATTAACTGAAGAGAAGGAAAGATATAACAGGGAAGGAGGAGCTGACCTCTTAACAAAAGAATAGAGACTAGCGAATAGAAAAACGATCCTTGAAGATCCATATTTTTCTCTGACCACAGCACCCACAACCCAGCAAATAATGCCCCTTGCAACAACAATTTATCCTCCTTTCTCCTCTCAACACCAAGAAGAGAAGGAGAAATAAAGCCGTGAAGATTCAAAGGAGAAACAAAGAAAACTGAAAGTATCAAATAAGCCAAAAATCTCCAGACATATTGCAATCCATTGATGAGGTGAATATGACACTCAGCTGCTGCAAAACACATCAAGTACACGAGTAAAAAGCACAATTCAACCTACAAGCTTAAAGCAAATAATTAAAATTAAGCCACTCTAAAATCATAGTCAAACAAATCTTAACCTCAGAGGGAGCGATAACCTTCTAGAAACAAATAGTTTAGGTATCATTTTGTATATTATGGTTATGCCCTAGGAAATTAATGAAGGATTTTGAATTAAAAGTTTTTTTTGAAATAAAAGAAAAGCATATTATTATAAACATAGGTACCAAGGGGGTACCATCCATATACAAAATAATTATATATCAATCAAGTGGTCAATGATTATCCAAACATTTTCCTAATCTTTAATGTCATGACCCAATAGAATAGAACAAAAAATGTTAATTCATCTATCCCTAACGTTTACAAAGTTAGTTTAATTCGCTCAAAAGCTCTTGCATTTCTTTTCTTCTATATTACCCAATAAAATGGTAAGTAGAACTAAGATTAAATGTTTTTTCTTTTTACATATTCCTGCCCACGCCCACATCTCCTGACTAACAGTACCCACTATAACCCAATTCATCCCCATAATCCCATAAAAAATGGTTCAGATGCTGTACACTGCCGGGCAACCAAGTAAAATTTGGTTGCAAGATTCCTCACCTGCTTTACACAAATAGCACTTATTTACCAAAATGTTACCTCTCCTCTTTAGCATGTCAATAGTCAAACTACTTTCCCAAAAAAAAGTCATTCTAGAGGGGAATCTTGGATCTCCAAATCTGTTTATACGGTGCTGCCATCTCAGCACCTCCATCTCTCTTGCATAAATGAATGTAGTATGACTTTACAGAAAAACCCTTTTGCTTGTCCAGTTTCCATATCCTTTTATCACTATTGATCGCCAAATTTATGTCAGCCAAGCGGAGGAGCAAATCACAATATTCATCCACGTCCCAATCCTTCAAATTTCTTTTAATCCACGCACTTCAACCTCTCCCCCTTCACCATTCCCATATATCTTTTCCACCAAGATATCTCTATCACAAGCTATAGCATATATACTTGGAAACCTGTCTTTCAACTTGAAATCACCCATCCACTCATCCTGCCAAAAAACGAATGCCCCCACCATTACCCACCTGCCACCCAATACACTCCAAAAACATGCTGCAATCCCCTCTGATTTTCTTCCATAAACTTACCCCATACAGTTTAAACTGCCATTTTCTTCCCCCATCCCGCTCCCAATCACCCCATCTCGCCTCCACCACCGTCCTCCATAATTTTCCATCCTCATTAAGAAACCTCCACAGCCATTAACGATGAAGCGTATAATTCATCTCCATAATTGATCTTAACCCCTACCCCCCCCCCCCCCCCCTCTCCCCCAATACATAGGTTTCTTCTATTCATCCCATTTCACTAAATAATATTTTCTATTCCCCTCTTCATTGCCCCAAAGGAATCTACATTGGATCCTTTCAAGCTTTGTTGCAATGCTAGCCAGTATAGTTAAAATAGAAAGATAATATATTGGCAAGTTAGCTAGAGTGCTCTTGATCAAGGTAAGTCTCCCACCTTTTGATAAAAAATTTCTCTTCCATCCCACAAGTCTCTTCTCAAACATTTCCACAATCAGGTCCCAAGTGTTAACATTTTTAAATTTCGCACCAAGAGGTAGCACCAATGTATTTAATTGGCAAAGTAGTAACCTTACAACCCAACACCGCAGCAAACTCATGTCATTCCTCCTATCACCGATTCTAACCACTTCTGTCTTCCTCATGTTTATTCTCGACCCGGAAACTAGCTGGAAACAAATCAATATGCACCTCAAATGCAGTAGCAAATATAGATCTGGTTTGCAGAAAATAAGGGCATCATCCACGAAAAATAGATGTGATCCCTTCACCTTGGAAACCCCTTCACCCACCGCGATACCTTTGACCATGTTAAGATCACTGGCCCTATCCGTATGCCTACTAAATGCTTCCATAACCGTGAGGAATAATAAGGCGACAAGGGTTCTCTTTGACGGAGGCCTTCGGAGGCCCTAAAGAAAGATGGTGGACCTCCATTCACCATCACAGTAAAAGAGGTTGTTAATATGCAATTCATTATCCATTTCCTCCACCTACACCTGAATCCCAACCTCTCAAGCATATAACCAACAAATTTCCAACACACATAGTCACAGGCCTTCTCCATGTCTATCTTACAAATTATGCCTTCTTTTTCTGCCCCAACATATCATCAGTAGTCTCATTGGCAACCATAACAGCATCAAATATTTATCTACCTTCCACAAAAGCATTTTGATTCTCTCTAATCACCTTTCCCAAGACCTTGGACATTCTTTTGGCCAGTACCTTGGAAATCAGCTTGTAAATACTTCCCATAAGGCTAATCGGCTTGAAATCCTTTATATTTTTTGCACCAACATCTTTAGGGATGATCACCAAAAAAGTAGTATTTATAGATTGAACAAAATAGCCCATCCTGTAAAAATCATGAAAAACAGCCATCACATCAGCCTTGATCACAGCCCAAAATTCCTGATAAAATTTCATATTAAACCCGTCGGGCCCGGTGCCTTGTCCCCGTTACATTCCCCCAAGCATTTGAGGACCTCCTCTTCTGTTAAAAGGGACCTCCAGTACCTCTTTATTTTCTGCACTAAGCTGTTTGAAAAGGAGTTCATCCAAACGTGGTCTTCGGCCCCCATCTTCCTTGTACAGTTGTTGGAAGAATGACATTGCTTTCTGCCTCATATCTGTTGTCTCCCCATTAATACGTAGCTCCTCTACATAGTTGTTTTTCCTTCTATGGTTTGCCATGCAATGAAAATACTTAGTATTTCTATCATTCTCTTTAAGTCATTTCTCCCTAACCTTTTGCCTCCAGGAAATAGTTTCCATATTCATATTGGTTGCTATATCATTTTTTAATGTAACTCTTCTCTCCCTCCCCTTCTCACATAACAACCCCTCCATCTCCAAAGTATCCAACTCAACAAGCTCCTCAAGGTTTTCACTAATCATCCTCTCAGTCTTACACCCCTCCTCTCCTCTCTAGCCCACTTTTTGCGTTCAGTTTTCAGTGTCTTCAATTTGGAGGCAAAGATGAAATTGGCTGTACCTTCCACCCTAATCTACTTCCACACATCTTCCACCAACTTCCTGAATCCCTCCACCTGAATCCATTTGTTATCCAATCTAAACGGGCCCAGTCCCCAAATGATGCATTCCGGGATAATACAGATAGGATTTAGAATTAAAAATATACAAGGATTCCAAAGACTACCGATGGAAGTTATTCTTAAGCTTCGTTCAAAATTTTTGGAGATTTGTGGAATCATATATTGGCATATAAATAATATGCAATTCTTCTAAGATTAGCTTTCGTACTTCTCAATATTAATTTTGAAACTGTTGAGAACTTCACCACCCCCTCCTCCTCACTCCCCCCTTTTTTCAGACATGCTGCACCATTGGCTTTATGTAATGAATTATTTTCATCAAGAATATGTTATTTGTGCAGACAAACTTGAAGGTTGACAAGGACAGTGTGATTTTTGTATTTGCAAAAGGATGTCTGCATGCTGTTTCTAGTATAGATGGTGATGTTCTCTGGAAGAAGGATTTTGCCACTGAAAGGTTTGCGTGCCCAATTTATTTTTTGTTGCTACTCTCTCTCATCTGCTCTTTTTCACTATGGCGATATTGATGTACTTTATGGTCTCTTTTTCTGCAGCTCTGAGGTTCAGCAGGTGATTCAGCCTCCTGACAGTGATGTAATTTATGTGCTAGGATTTGTTGGTTCATCCCAATTTGATATCTATTATATCAAAGCTAAAGATGGAGAGTTGTTGAAGCATAGAAGTTCAACATTTTCTGGTGGTTTTGTGAGGGAAATCTCGGTAGTTTCAAGTGACATGGTTGTGGCTCTTGATGCAACCAGGACAAGTTTGGTAAAAGTAACCTTCCATGATGGGGAAATTAGCTTTCAACCTACATTTATTTCAGAGCTTCTTGAGACTTCTTCTGGAAAAGCAGTGATATTACCTTCTGCTGTCACAGGGATGGTTTCCATAAAACTTAATTTTCTTACAATAGTTTTAAGAGTGACAGATGAAGGGAAGTTGGAGGTGGTGGAGAAAATCAGTGATGCAACAGCTATAAGTGATGCTATCTCACTGTCAACAGGTCAACAAGCATTTGCACTTGTTCAACACGAAGGCAGTAAGATTCATGTCAGAGTGAAGGCTGGTCATGACTGGAACAGTGATTTGCTTAGAGAGAGTATTCATTTGGACAATCAGCGAGGGATTGCGCATAAAGTTTTCATAAACAATTATATCCGGACAGACAGGACTCATGGCTTTAGGGCCTTGATTGTAATGGAAGATCACTCACTTCTCTTGCTACAACAAGGTGAAATTGTTTGGAGTAGAGAAGATGGATTGGCCTCAATAATTGATGTCACTACATCAGAACTTCCAGTGGAAAAGCAAGGGGTATCAGTTGCAAAAGTGGAGCATAACCTCTTTGAATGGCTTAAGGTATGAATCTTCAAATAGTTCTTTCAAGAAAGTGGAAGTGATCTTGTTAAAAGTTGAAAGGCATAATATTTTGTGTGTTTTATAGTTATATGTTCCGTCAAATGTTTATGCTTGATATGCACATGTTTATACTTGAACATTATGTGTCGCTTGCTTCGTAGTAGGATATTCTATATTCATGTATGTGCATTTGTGTATTATTGCTTTAAAATGCTAATGGGCCAAGCTAAGTGATTGAACTTGGGTGAATCTTGTCTCTCTCTCAAACAAAATGTACTTTATTTTGATTGGAGAAGAGTTTAGCCCAGTGTTAAATCTCCATATAGTGAATGGCCACATTCATTATATATGATTCTGAGAGTGCAGTTCATATGTTTGTTCAACAGCTCCACATGTTTGTTAATATATTGTTATTATGGATCTTGGCTTTGAGTGCTTTTGAGTCTACCACCTTTCAAGGAGAAAAGCTGACTATCTTTTGTCTCTAATTCTTATATCAGTATCATTTTGTCTCCACTTCTTAACCACTTCCTAGATGAAATATCAGAAAATTTTGAGTGTTAGCAGCTTTTTGAACCATTACATGACCTTTCCTGCAGAATTGTGTAAATTTTTCATTCAACATTTAGGACTTTGTGAATGCTTGAGGATGATATGGTTATTTTTCTTGATAATAACATCTGAATTCACTAGTCGAAAATCAATGTTGATCTCATTAACTATCGTCATTCTTTTCACTGAAATTTGACATGGGGCTCTTTATTGGAAGGGACACATGCTGAAGCTTAAGGGAACCCTGATGCTTGCAAACCCCGAAGATGTGGTAGCCATACAGGCATTGAGGTTAAAAAGTTCTGAGAAGAGTAAAATGACTAGAGACCACAATGGTTTCCGGAAGCTGCTTATAGTACTTACACGAGCAGGAAAGCTTTTTGCCTTACATACGGGAGATGGACGAGTTGTGTGGTCTCTATTACTACTAAGTCTACGCCAATCAGAATCATGTCCCTGCCCTATTGGGATTAATTTGTACCAGTGGCAGATCCCCCATCAGCATGCAATGGATGAGAATCCATCTGTTCTTGTAGTTGGCAGGTGTGGACTAAGTTCAGATGCACCAGGTGTAGTTTCATTTGTTGATACCTATACAGGGAAGGAGATAAATTCTCTGGCTCTTGTTCATTCCATTGAGCAAGTCATTCCACTTCCATTTACTGATTCGACTGAGCAGCGTCTCCATCTACTTATAGATGCTAATAATCATGCCCATTTATACCCCAAAATTCCTGAAGCTAGTAGTATTTTCCATCGTGAGTTTTCAAACATATACTATTATTCAGTTGACTCAGATAACAGCATTATCAGAGGATATGCATTGAAAAGTAATTGTGCTGGAGAAGACGTCGATGAATACTGCTTTGACACCAGGGAATTGTGGTCAGTTGTATTCCCTGTAGAATCAGAAAAGATCATTGCGACTGTGAGAAGAAAGTTAAATGAGGTCAGTTGAAATTGCTAATGGATTTTGTTCCTTTTCCTAATATATATTTCTGCTGGTACTTGATCATGGCCAGTTCTTCAGTTCTTTTCCCTTAATATTTTTTTTCCATCTGGATTGACTAATTAGTCAAGTTTGTTCCAGAATAAAGTTCTGATTGATTTGAGTTAGATTAGGTTTCTCTGAAAACTTAAAAATTATAAATAAGTTTTTTATTGATTTTTGGCTATCATACCTTTTCGACTTAAGTTCTGTATAAGAGGAAGACATTTCTGGCTTCCTTATGGGCAAAGGTCAATGAGAAACCTTTTAACATTTGTATTTCCGTGTGGCATGGAAACTGAGGTGCCATAATAAACTGATCTTTGGTGGGTTTGATTGTAACTGTACTATACTTTGGAGTTCTTCTATACTTTTCTTGTACTTAACAGTACTTGTTTTCTGTAAAATACTAATAATACCAATAATAACAAAGGTATGCACAATACACCGTGGACTGTATAGCTTTATTAAGAGGATATTATATTTTTTACTCTGTTTGACAGTGTTTTGATCTGGAACTTTTTGTTTTTGTGAAGATGCACTATTCAATTAGAACACATTGAATATGCACTCTTCAATTAAAGCACATTTTTGTTATTTTCTAGTTGCCAACTTGATGTCTTGCGATTTGGGTTCCAGGTGGTTCACACTCAAGCAAAGGTTATAGCAGATCAGGATGTAATGTACAAATATATATCAAAAAATCTTCTCTTTGTGGCAACTGTTTCCCCAAAAGCCATTGGTCAGATTGGATCAGCCTCTCCAGAGGAGTCATGGATAATTGTATATATTATTGATACTGTGACTGGTCGCATATTGCATCGCATGACTCATCATGGTTCACAGGGTCCTGTACATGCTGTAAGTTTTCATCGCTATCTTTTGTTATTTCTTTTAATGAATTAGGTACATCCCTTATGCTTCACCTATCTTGTAGGTTTTTAGTGAGAACTGGGTTGTCTACCACTACTTCAATCTTAGAGCCCACAGATATGAGATGTCAGTTATTGAGATTTATGACCAGTCTCGAGCGGTATGTCTACATTATGGGACTCCTTATGCAGATTTGTTGTTATGTTTATTCCAAAAATTTACTTTTGCAGGACAACAAAGATATTTGGAAATTTGTTCTTGGAAAGCATAATCTTACTGTACCCATTTCCTCATATTCCCAACCCGAAGTAGTAACAAAATCGCAGTCGTACTTTTTCTCTCATTCTGTGAAAGAAATAGCAGTGACATCTACAGCAATGGGTATAACTTCAAAGCAGCTCCTCATTGGTACAAGTGGTGATCAGGTCTGTTAAAAAGCTAAGCAAGATGCATCCGTCATCTTTTTCCTTTTCATCTGTACATTGATTTGGTTTATCTTTACTCATATTTTCTTATTCAAAAGAAGTTTCTTTAAAGATATATCGTTGTAACTTTTTGCAGGTTTTAGCGCTTGATAAGCGCTTCCTAGATCCACGTAGATCACTCAACCCTTCACAAGCTGAGAAAGAAGAAGGAATCATACCTCTAACAGATTCGTTACCGATCATTCCTCAGGTTATTTTCCATGTGTTTGCTTATACATCCTAGTCATTCTCCCTATTGTTTAACATTATTGAGTAATTAATTCTTCAGAGAGCATGGGAGATTTTGGGTAACCCTGTTCTAAGGAGTAATACTTACTCCAAAGTTGAGATGCGAAAAATGAATCCTTTGTATATAGCATCTTAACAATTGTCTTCTCACCTTGTTTAAGGGGGATAAATATCGGTTGTCACTGAATTTAGTGTAAATTGGACCTCATAGGAGCTAAACTTTGACTAACTCCATTTTGCCAACTGTTCAAATGCAAGTAAAGGATTCACTTCAGGTTTGTTAGGCTCATTACTTGCTTTGGTCAATCAAGCCACATTGAGTAAGCTCAGTTGGAAAACCTTAACTAACAGTAGTTGGAGTGGTAAATGAGCCACATGCTTTTTATCTGGTAAGTTCACTTGTTTATACATTCATATTGACTGTTATATTCTTTATGTAGTCCTATGTCACCCATTCCGTCAAGGTTGAAGGTCTCCGAAGCATAATAACGGTGCCTGCAAAGTTGGAATCAACAACTCTTTTGTTTGCACATGGAGTGGATCTCTTTTTCACTCGACTTGCACCTTCAAGGACCTATGATTCGCTCACAGAGGATTTTAGCTATGCCCTACTTCTCATCACAATTGTTGCACTTGTTGCTGCAATCTATGTAACATGGATTTTGTCTGAGAGGAAAGAACTACGGGAAAAATGGAGGTAACGTGAGGCCTTTCCTGCAGTAGTATGTCCTGGCAGAGTCTTTACATTGACTTGTTTTAATTTGGATTTTTTGTTTTTTCTAGATGTTATAGTATTGCCTCTTTTGATGGCCTAATTAAAGCTCATTTTGTAGATTCAACAGTCGAAAGAAAATACTCAGTGCACCACTCTTGATCTTTTGCTTGCCTAATTTGAGATAGTTATTCCACTATATGTTTGTATTGTTTTTCTTTTTTTCTTTGCTTTGGGGATGTGGATTGCTGATAATTTTGGGAATGTAACATCAAGCTAACGTAATGGAAAAGAGAGTTTTGAATCAGAAATTTGTGGTTAGTTGACAGAGATGACCCTGTAAGTGATTTTACCAGGAAATAGAGATGCATATGTTTATGTATCTCATTTCCAGTGAA